CCTTTATCTTGCATCTACCTACCACTTCAGCAGTTTATTAAAAATAAAAATAATAATAATAATAAAGGGAGAAATGTAGGATCCACATATAAATCAAGTATAAAAATCAAACGAATATTCATATTTGACCTGATTGTTTATAGTTCATAATGTGTGATCAAAACGGAAAGTTTCTGTGATTGATGCCCTTGTACTGTTCACCATTTAAGAACTTATTCACTATGTAAGAATTCATTCACTATGTAAGAACTTGTTCGTTATGCTTCAGAAGATTGGAGACTGACGAGAACTAGGCTTGAGATGGATTAATGATTGTGCATTGAGCATTGACCCCCCTATACAGAATTTTATTGTTGTTAACAACCATTGGATCAATAAATATGAGAGATGCCCTCTCAAAAAATAATGTGTGTAATGGACTTAACAGGAGTGTTAGTGGGAAATTTATATTTTTCAAAGCATGTATTAGAAAAGAAGGAAGTACAAAAGGCAAGGATATAAGCTTCCATCTCTCAAGAAGCTCAAAAGAGAAAAGCAAATCAAACCAAAGTAGAAGAGGAGTCATTAATGAAATGGAAAACAAATACAAAACAGAGAATATCAGCAAAGCGAAAGCTGATTTTGAAAAGATTAATAAAATTGATAAACTCTTAGGAAGACTTACCAAGGAAAAAAAAGAGAATAAACATATTAACAATATCAGGAATGAAAAAGTGTACATTATTAAAATTCTTACTGACATTAAAACAGCAATAAGAGAAAATTATGAATAACATGCCAATAAACCTGACAATTTGAACAAATTGCTCAAAAAGCAATAAAACTTGCCAAAGCTGATACAACTGAAATCTCAAGAATTTTGCATCTCTTAAAGAATTAAATCCATTACTAAAAGCTTTCCTACAATGAAAACCCCAGGATTTATATCTAAAATTTTGGTATGCATACTAAAGTGTTAAGAGTTTGACTTGAAAACGGATGCTTTTTTTTAAGAAAATGAGGATAATTATATGTTAATTATATCTCAATACAACAAAAAAAATGAGAATAGTGACAACTTTTACATTCTTTAGTAAAGTATTTAGAGGAGCACCTGGCACATAATTAATGTCCAGTAAATATTTAATGAATGGATAAACCGAAAGAAACTGGGACATAAGTAAGCATTGATAAAGAACTGGGTTAAATCTAAAGATAGGGTCAAATTTTTATTTCTTTGGATGAAGAGAAGGATTTATTTTTCTAAATTTGACAGTTCTTGAGGTAGATTATAACCAAAATATCATTTTAAATATGGCTAGCTTTAACATTGATTATAATTTAACTTACACAGAAGGTGTTTTAAATATAATTAAAATTGTAAGTAGTGTATTATTCCTGTGTGAATTGCCATTGATAAGAAATAGGTGTGCTCACAGGCTCACCAAATGATCATTGTGTACACAACTTGGGAGACAAGTCTTGGGGTATCAATTTGTTTGGATACTGATTGGTTGGTACCCAGATTTGAAAAAGAATTTACCAAGGAAGATTACTCTAAGACTTGGAAGTTAAAACTTAAAACTCTTTGCATTGTGTTTAATTGGGAAATAATATGTATTATGCCATTAATAGTTAGAAAAATTGCAATATTCTTGTTTTTATACCAGAGGCTGCAAACTGAGAGCCTACAGGGTCCAGACAGGTAAACATACATGGGAGGACTGCCAGGTTCCTCTAGATAAATTGCACAGCCATGCGTCTCCCAAGGCAGCAACCACCATTTCAGCTCCACTGGTTGCTGCCATAAATGAATGAACATTGAGTATCCTGAGATGTGATTTTACAAAAGGAGCCCCAAAGCCCGATTCTGATTCCTGTACTCTGTTGCCTTCTTTGCATGAGGACTTCCTGTGCTAAAGCTTCTCCTAGTCAATGACATGTTTCCAACACATATTCCTCTATTCCTACATACACATTTAGAACACACCGATGGGAAGTAAATGGCCCGTTGCTAAAATACCAACAACCAGCTCATGGTCAGGCACCAATGTTGTTTATCATAGACTAGTTCTGCTGCTGTTCAAGGTGCTGCACGCATTCAGATTCATTCAACAAATAGCTTTAATGTGCCAGGCATATTCTATACCCTGGGGATACAACAGTTAAAACAGTAAAAATTCCACGACCTCATGGAACATACGTTCTAGCGCCAGCGATACTACATGTGTATTAGAATTACAAAAGATACAGACTCTGTGAATACCATGGAGGATTCCTTTGTGGGATGCTGGGACAAAAGTCTCAGATTCAGAGGAACGTGAGGACCCTTTTAAACTGTACAGGTCCAAGGACCATTACTAACTGTTTATGTAAAATTATGGAATTACATACAGGAGCCACAAAAGATAGACCATATTAAGCAATTGGTAATGCTAGGCAACACATAAATTAATTTCTTTGAGCAAATATGATGGGATAAAGAGCCAGGCAATATGAAGCAAGAGCATTCAGCTGCTGAGTTTTCTGTTTTTAAGCTTTGTGATTAATGTATATTTGGCTATATTTATTTAACAGTATTTAATTTAAACTGCATTGGAGACTGGTAGGAAGAATTTGCCCCTGTCATGATTTTTGCCAAACAGAACTTACCTAAGCTGTACTTACCTCTCCTAACACATGAACTGTGGAATCACACTATCTAAAGAGGAAAATTAAGTCATATGTTTTGTTTACTTTTCTCTCCTCATTATCTAGAAGCCTGCTTGGGACATGTCAGGAAGTTGCCATGTGTTAGCTGAACTGAATTAATGAAGACTGAATGAAACAGAATGAATGAATTTGTATGCCCTCTCCAATATGGGTGCCTCCTCACCTTCTCCATCTGAGTCCAGTAACCTAGTACATTGCTTGCAAAGTTAAATTCCTTGGGTACAGTGTAGTCATTCCATCTTGGGGCTCCACCTCCTGATAAAGACTGGCAGCGCAGGTGCCAAGCGGCAGGGTGGAAGCCATGGTAGAATTTGTGGATTCTGCTGAGGACCCAGAACCTCATCAGCCACTGCATGGTGGGGCAGTCCTCAGGTCACCGGCCCAAAATTCTCAGGTCACCACCTGCCATGGGAAGAGACAGCTAACCAGTTGGTCATGGAGCAGGAATTTCCTCTACAAACTGAAGGTACCTCCCTGGTTAATTGCTAGAGTAGTAACTTTGTTTCAGCTCAGCAGAATTTGGAAGGCAATTCTCATTGATTTAGGTGGAGCTTTCTCTTCTCAGCTGAGGACCTAGAGGCAAAAAGTGATAGGGAGGGGCCATAGCTAGCAGCTGAGGTTGATTCACATTCCTGAGGGTCTCCTCCTCCTTCTGGGATTTAAGCTTGGGATGCCAGCCACGTGGCACTCCCCTTGTGGTAGAAACTCACCATTTTAGAAGTTCTGCACCACTTGCTATTCCTTGCTCAAGAGACCTCTCTTCCCACCTAGCCCAATTGTGCAGTTCCCATGGAAGTGGTCATATTTTTAGATGATTCTACCCCCTATCCAGAATTGATTGATCCAGGGTTCAGTGGGCATTCCTGTGATTTTTAATTCCAACTGGACTAACCATAATCCTCTCCCAAAACCTGTGTATGTACTTGTTTCTGCAGGGTGTATGGAGGGGTCTCTGGTGGAAGTCATGAACTAAACATTTTGGGAAGCGGTAGTGGCCATGATTCCTGCATATGAATATGAGTGCTCTGTGTGACAGAAAGTGCATGTGTGAACCAGCAGTCTTTCCTGCCTAACATTAGCTGTCACTTGCAACTGTAAGGATATTGCCAAAAATACACCACCATACTCAGAACAGACAAGGTTAATATCTCAGCACTTTCCCTTCTGGGCTGAGAACTGGCCCTGGGGTCTCCCCAAGATGCTGGCCTGGGGAGTTATTACTAACCCATCAGAGTTGACCCAAGAAATGGAACTTCATTGCCACTCCAGATCCCCAAAAATGCCCCTAACATGGGTGCAGAATCCTCATTTATTAGGGTCCTTCTTGAAGTTTGATTGTGGAAATTGTCTTAAGCTAGAACTGTCTTTCCAGGAGAAGACTGAAGAAAACCACTTCACAAACAGCTTTGAGATTCAAGCACTTTATCTCTGCAAACAATTAACCCCTTCAGTTTCAAAATAAGATAATATTGTTTGATAGACAGATCAAACCAAAATTGACTCAGTTTACTTCCAGGCAGTTTAAACCTGTAACAACCTAACCACAATTAAGTTTGATGCTGCCCCCACCATGCAGTCCTAGCAGGTGACCCCTCTAAATATGCAGTTGGGGTTACAAGGATATAAAAGAGGATAGGCAAATGGAAAGCTCGTTTCCTACAGTTTGCTTTCCACGTGGATCCTTGGGCCACATGAACTAATACATGTCCCCTTCCTTTTTAGTGCCTGTCAACCAACAGTACCATCTTCTGTTTTATCAGAGCATCTTTGGTCAAGAAAGACACTAAGGTATCAGCTGGCTCAGACCTGGTCCTATGTGCTATATACTATATAGTATCCATACTATACCAAGTATTTATCACTATCTATATCTATAACCATATCATATTTTTAACTATATGACTATGCCTATATCTATGTCTGTACTTATCTAGGAATATATTGATATCTATATGTCTATCACTATATATAACTAACTATAACTACATCTGTATCTATAACTATATTACATGTATATGTATTCCTCACAATGCCTGACATAATAAGCACTCAACAAAATATTAGATTCTTCCCCTTTTGTCATAATTCAGAAATCTAGGAGATGAAAACTGGGGAGAGAAGAGCCAGTGTGCCCTCAGAATGTCTGAATTACAGAAAAATGCATTTTTTTCATTCATCAAATATTGTGGATCTGCTCTGTGCCATATAATGTTTAGAGACCAATAGAGATGAATTAGACCGCTAGAGTTCCTACCCTCTGGAGATGACAGTCAAAGCACAGCCTATGAACTAGTGGCTAAACAATCTTTCGAAATGCTTTAAAGTGTATTTTGAAATCACTTTGGCAGTGTGGAATTGAGAGGGGGCTGGCTCATTCCATGTGCCTAAGTACACAGTGCCTTGAAGAATTCCTGCAACAGCTTTGGTTTCTTAAGTTTTTGGACTGAAAAAGCTATTTACTTTTCTAAGAAAACATACTTATTATGTTGTAGGCACCTCACAGTTACAGAGCCAGGCTTGACTTCACTGCTTACAGCTGGATGATCTTGGCCACTTTTTGTCTCTGAATGAGGGCATAGTAACACCTACCACCTAGCTTCCCAGAAAGTCAGCATGATGATCTATACAATTCACTTTGCCAGCACTGTGTCTAATACACAGAAAAGGCTCAAAAAATGCTGAGGTGCCCTTAATTCCCAGTAAATAGTGAAGTCAACCCTCCAGTTAAATATTAAAAAACACCTATTTAAAAAATGAAAGGTATTCACTTTATATAATATGAACCTACTTCTGCATAGTAGAGATTTCTTTTGAGTATCCACCTTCTGGATCTTTTTTTAGTTCCCTTTGCACTTTACTCCCACCTCCCATTGTATGCAGAGCTGCCTAACATTAAATCCATCTCCGTGCGTGCGTGGGCCAGCCACTGTGCTGGGCAGATTCCATGGATATTCCCATGTATCCCTCTACTCAATATCACTGTCCTCATTTTGCAGATAAGGAAGTGATGTATCCAAGAAGTTGAAATTTCCCCAAGATCAGCCAACCTGTAAGTGGCATTGCCAGAACTTGAAACTGGACCTTCAGATTTTAAGTTCAGAGCTCTGTATGTATTTTGCTGCCTTGTGGCAGGTACGCACACACACACACACACACACACACACGCACGCACGCACACACACGAAAGGAGCTGTCATTTGCTTCTGTCTTACCTGTCCTGTCTAGGAAGCAGCTGGGCTAGGTCTCAAGCTGGTATAGAAAAGCAGACTCTACATGTCCAGCTCTGTCTGATCTGCAACTCCAGAAGTGTGCACCCACAGAGCTGGCCACTGCTAGAGCAGAGAACTTGGCAGCAACTGGATGATTGAGGGGGAGGAGATGCTTGAGTAGAACAGGGCAGAAAACCACCACAGGCCTCCATGGAGAGAGGACCATCAGTTAAAAAGCAATCTATGTGCAGTCTCAGATTCCTCTGGGATGTACTGTGGTGTGTGTGAACGAAGAAAGTCCAGTGGGGCATGTTCCCTGGTTCTGCCTGGCTAACCTGCTCCCCTTTCCCAGCCCTGTCCCTCCAACATTTTCATTTAAATGACAGTCAAGTGGCATTGTGGCCCAGTAGTTAAAGCCTGTGCTGAGGAGGCAGGAAGATTTTTGTTTAAGCCTCAGATCTGCCACTTAGTCCCTGGACCCAGGAGGGATATAGGAGATGGAATTGTACTCATGAGTGGGCAGAGAAAAATGACCCCCCCAAAAAAGTCATCAATGACTCCATCAAAAAGCTGGATATTAGTTCCTGTAAATACTCCTGCTCTTCCGAAAAAAATGCCCCTACTCTGCTCACTTCTCCCAACCATTACTCCTTCTGTGGGCTGACTGCTTCTCTTGGTGGACTGAAGGCATAGTTAGGTAATTAAAATTAAGTAAGAGGTTGCTACTGAGCAGAGTTCACGCAGCTGGTGTGCTGTGCCCAGATCACGCAGCTGGTGTGCTGTGCCCAGATTGGCTGCAGCCTTGATCGCTGAGGCAGATACATTCTCTTGTCCCCCAGCCCTGCCCTGCACACTCACCCCTCTCAAACATTAATCTCTAGTTCCTAGTTGTTTATCTGAGCCCTGCTAGCTGCTTCCTCCTGCAGGAGCCCCATGAATCTCCACTGCCCACTAGTGGTGATGCTGGATCACTCCATTTCCCAGCTGAGGAAACTGAGGCAGAGGTGGGCAGGGCAGTCCTCTGCAGTAACAGAACTAGAACTCAAACACACCCCTTCAATTAAAATAGTTAGCTACTCTCCCCACTGATCTTTGGCTTTGTCCTTTTAAGTAAGGGAATACTACTTCTTCCTTTCTCTTCTTTTTTTTGCTCTAACTGTGTATGATTACCTCTAGTCTTAATTACTCAACATTTTCCTTTATTGATTCCATTAAAAATTAAATAAAAAACAAAAATATATTAAGCCAAATGAAACTGTACCATGACTATAATTAGGAAATTGCCACAAGGGAAGAAACTAAAGATGAATACAATGAAATTTAGTTATTAAATCCAATTAGGATGTAGTTGCTTGCCAAATATTTGAGATGTCTTGTTCATTTTTTGTTAAAAAGGGAAATTAAGGTTTCATCAGTTACTTATTGCTATAATAATGCTGCATAACAAACAGCTCTCAAGTCTCAGTGGCTTATACACACCTATTTCTCTCTCACAAGTCTGAGACCAGCGGCGCTCCAGAGCATGCTCTCCTCACAGTGGATGGCAGAAGCACCCAAATCAAGCCAAACCACGTAAGGACATTTTAAACCTCTGCTTGCACCATGCCTGCTAACATTCCCTTGGCCGCTGCAAAGTACAGAACCAAGTTTGACCTCATGGAACACAGAGCTATATTCCTCCCTAGAGGAGGGGTGGTGGTGGGGTGAGTAGAGAGTGAATATTTGCTGAATAACAAATATTATTTGTTCAAATCTACCATAAAGGAATGGAAACCACAGAAATGGCAAACTGAAACTTCCTAATTGGCTTAAGTGACAAGAACTGGGAAACGACTGGCTTAACCCAAGCATAATTCAGGGCCTAGTGGTAAGCTTGCTCTGGTTCCGAACAAAATCAGGGTTCTTTCAGCAAAGAACAGGATGGTGTGGAGGTGGTAGAGAAGAACAGCCACTGGGCAGGTGTACCAGTCTGCAAGGGCTGCTCTGACAACACACCATACTCCTGGTGGCGTAAACAACAATTATTCTCTCACAGCTCTGGAAGCTGGAAATCCAGGATCAAGGTGCTGGCAGGGTTGGTTCCCCTCGGCTTGCAGACGGCCATCCTCGCATGGCTGCCCCTCTGTGCATGCACTCCAGGGGTCTTTCTGGGTGTCCCAGTCTCCTTGTCTCATAAGGACACCAGTGAGACCAGATTAAGGCCACCCTCAGACTGCATTTAACTTAGTCATCAATTTAAAACCCTACCTCCAAAGAGTCACATTCTGAAGTCCTGGGGGGACCTTTAACATATGAAATTTGGAGGACACAATTCAGTCCATTAGAATAGGTTAAAAAACAGTACTTGCCACACTTGTTCAAGTCTCTCCCTCCCTCAAAAGTTGCATCATTGACTCTGTATTTTTCTTTTCTTCCTCCCCCTTTCAATTATTTCTATTAAGGAGAAGACTCGCTAGGTGTTTCCACCTTTCAGTCCCTCACTGATAACCCACAGCTATCACTTTTCTACCCTTAATTACTCTATTGAGCAATTTTCTGGGGGGTGGGGGAACAAGATCTCTAAAGTTCTTGCTGCCAAACGCAATGGACCTTTTTCAGTTCTGACTCTTGGCCATTCTGGGCAATGTTAACCAACTCGTGAATTGCTCTCTCTCATCTTTCTGTTATCACACCCTGCCTTCTCTGAGTTTTCTCTTTCAGTATTGTCCATGGGATCCTCTTCCTCTTAATTCTCTTTAAATATTATTGCTGTCCAAAATCATCTTCAGCTAACAGTTCCTCTCCTTATGCATTGGTCCATCTCATTCTCTCTCTTGCTCATTCTGTAGAGAACTTTCTAAACCACCTTGAAAATCTTGACCTCTACCCTGAGTTCAAGCTTATATGTATATCCAACTAAATACAGACTAACCTTGGTATTTCATAGAGAACCTAAATTACCATGACCGCAACTGAATTCAATTTCCTGCATCTAATCCTATTCTTCTCAGAAAGTATTACATCCACCAACCTCAGTTTACCTAATCAAAAATCAAGACTTCCTCCCTTAGGGCCCTCTCTCCCTTGATCACCTGTCTTATTTAACACAAGGTCACCAAGTTCCAAGAAGGAATTCTTCTATTAAGCATTTCTCAAATTCTCTTTTAGCACATTCACCAGTCAACCACCAAGGTAATCATTTAGAAATGCACTGTTGCCTGAGTTCATTATTCTCCAGATAAAGTCCAAACTTTGTCATGTGATATAATGACCACCTCCTATGTCATTTTACAGCTTGAACCTGATGTTACAATAGTATCGGATGTAAGTGAGGTGACTCCCCTTCTCCAAGGTAAGTTTGTCCTTCTGTCTAGGGCCAATAGCAGCAAGTCTGGGACAACCTGTGCCGCCAACATATACACAGTCAGTCACAGTAAGTTAGTCTGGGGAATCCTCTAGAGCCAATGACTGTCCAGGAAGTTTTTTGCCTCCCATACTGGGCCGCAGGGACTTGGCAATCATTATGTCTTGGTTCTGGGGGCTACTGGGGCATCTGAAAGGACTAGACAAGGACAGGAAGGAGATGGTGGTCTACCTTTATCTCATCCTGAAAAACATAAGAGTTAGTGATTTCACTGTGGTCACAGTGAGGCATTCTTTGTGAAGGGTACCGGCTGAATATTATGATTGCTTTATACAAGCCATATTGAGAAGGGGACAGAGTGAAGGGAAGAGAGGTAGATTCTATACTTTGGGGAGGTCACAAATTTCCACTAAAGCACAGGCTCCCATATCAATAATTTCTGAGCCTGGAGAAGGTAAGGAGACTATGGGCCATGTACTAAATGGATATGATTTTTTTTAATGCTCACTATAAGATAAAATATTGAAAGTCTCAGAATGAATAATCCATTAGTTTTTAAATTTTTGGAAGCTATCAGTTAACTAATACTCCATTAAACATTGATAAGTGCAGATTGAGAAAAACAAACCTTTGCTATTTAATTAGCAAATTAAATTTCTCTCCCAGGCCAAACATAAAACTCTGGTATATTTTAGTGGACTCCAAGAGTATATCAAGAAGGGGTCACAGACCCTCAGAGATGCTTTGCTCTCTTCTCCCGCTCACTTGAACCTGCTAGGAGCATTCATCCTCCATCTCTGGGTTGTAGGTGAAGTGTTACAGTCCTCTCCTCCCTCCCTGTCCTGGATCCCGGGCTTTGGGGTCCCAGAGCCCTGAGAACTGAGTCTGTGGTTTATCCTTTGGCAACACCACTCTCCCCTTTGTTTTCCCCAAAGACAATTCCCACAGTCTTGATTTAAATACACTGTTCTTACAGCTGTGATCTGAGGTCTGTAGATGCCACACAGAGATGGAACAGGAGAGTATTTCTAAAGTGTCCAGGACAGTGTCTGGCACATGGCTAATGCTCAATAAATGGAGCTTCCCCTTCTCTGGTCATGTTTGCTCCAAAGCTTTGGGTGACTTGGGGATGACACCAATGTCCTCACCACATACACAAGCCTCTCTGTATGGAAGTCTTGTCCCAGGGCTGAGATGGGGTCCACGGCCTTTCATTTCTTTCCTAAGACCCTGTATTCTGCTTGACATCTTCACTGTCTGTCTCCCTTTCTCTGTGGGAGTAATGATGCTTCCCTCCCATCATTTTTCTTTATCATTTTCTCTAACTACTTTATTGATTTATTTACTTATTTATTTTTTGTATAATTAATATACAATCACATGAGCAACAATGTGGTTACTAGATTACCCCCATTATCAAGTCCCCACCACTTACCCCATTACAGTCACTGTCCATCAGCATAGTAAGATGCTATAGAGTCACTACTTGTCTTCTCTGTGCTATACTGCCTTCCCTGTGCACCCCCCTACATTATGTGTGCTGATTGTAATGCCCCTTATTCCCCTTCCCCTTCCCCTTCTCCCTTCCCACCTACCTCCCCCAATCCCTTTCCCTTTGGTAACCGTTAGTCCATTCTTGGGTTCTGTGATTCTGCTGCAGTTTTGTTTCTTCAGTTTTTGCTTTGTTCTTATACTCCACATATGAGTGAAATCATTTGGTACTTGTCTTTCTCTGCCTGGCTTATTTCACTGAGCATAACACCCTCTAGTTCCATCCACGTTGTTGCAAATGCTGGGATTTGTTTTCTGCTTATGGCTGAAAAATATTCCATTGTGTGTATGTACCACACCTTCTTTGTCTATTCATCTACTGATGGACACATAGGTTGCTTCCATTTCTTGGCAATT